GAAAAATCCAGAGAGAAAAAAATAAAAATCTGTTGACTTTTTTCTATTGAATATTCAACAGAATTAATGACAATTTCTCTCTATGAATGCTAATATAATTTACTAACAGCGACCAGACGATAATTCTTCAACCTGGCAGAACATATGGTACAAGATAAAGACACTATCGCCATTCCTGTGGCCAAAAACAGACTGTCTCCTTCAGTTGAGAGTTTTATTCTGCTTCGCTCTCCTGATAGCAGGGCGGGTCATCAATTTATACGTGCCGATTTACAACAAGAAAATTGTCGACAGCATGACTACAGATGTTCTCAAATTCAGGTCTAATTTGCCTTTCGTTAATGATTAAAATCACGTGGCAATTGTACATAATCGATTTTTTTTTGGTTTCATACTAATAAATTTGCATGAATACATTTCTTTTATGGCAGTTCTTAGCAAATATCTTAGAGCTAAAAGAAAAGATTGTTTCTGTAGCTCACAGTTTTCTCTATAGAAAATGTATGAGCAAAGATATTGCGATCTACATCTAATTCCGAGGTATTAACTAAAAACTGGCCTTGAAAATAATGGCTTATCCTAGTTTATTACCGTACAATGGGATATGGATTGTTTTGCAGGTGGGACTTGATCCTCATCTACGTGGCTTTCAAGTTCCTGCAGGGAGGGGGTACAGGGGGCATGGGGGTTTTAAATAATCTGCGGTCCTTCCTCTGGATCAAGATACAGCAATATACAACTCGTGAGGTCGAAGTCGAATTATTCAGGTGACAATCAATTAATTGAGCTAATTACTTTTTAATTAATCAATAGCCAACCAATTACTTTTCAATTGATTGATCGCGGCATCCATCCGTAAGCCAACAATAATTATTATATAATTATATTATTATTATTACGGCCGCAAAAACATCAGAACTGAGGGTGCTTTTAATATCATTCATTAAATACTTTCTTAAAAAACGTGAATATTAATTGAACAGAATTTCCTACCGAATTCACTGGATTTTTCTATTGAATTTCTTAGTGCGTACTGCAATAGAATGAAAAAAAAATTGACACTCTTCTGAAACTCCAGACACCTGCACAGCTTGAGTCTTCGTTGGCATCTGTCCCGTAAAACTGGTGAAGTCCTGAGAATAATGGACCGTGGAACAGACTCAATAAACAATCTCCTCAACTATATCCTGTTCTCGATAGTCCCCACAATCGTGGACATCCTAGTGGCTGTGATATTCTTCGTATCGGCCTTCAACAAGTGGTTTGGCCTGATAGTCTTCACGACAATGATCCTCTACATCATCACCACCATTTTAATCACCGAATGGAGAACCAAGTTTCAGAGGAGAATGAATCTGGCTGATAATGCCAGAAATGCCAGGAGTGTTGACAGTCTCCTGAACTTCGAAACTGTCAAGTACTATGGGGCTGAGCACTACGAGGTCAGCAGCTACAGGGAGGCTATTTTCAAGTACCAGGTGGAAGAATGGCA